AAAATGTCTTTAAGTTAAAATCAAAATACTTTATTTCTCATGGAGGGAAATATTGTCAGTTTCTCCATCGTAGAAAGCCTTTGACTGTTTGAACGTTAATTTGTTATTTGATTATTTGCTGTTTGTGTGCAGGTAGGAGAGTGTAACAGTAACTCCTCCAGCTTCATCACTCACCTGGACTGGTCTCTGGACAGTAAGATCCTGCAGACCAACGACGGAGCGGGAGAACGATTCTTCTACCGCATGCCCAGTGAGTACAGAATAATCTGAATTTTAGAGAGCATTTTTTTTTCTACCTATGTAGAGAGATAAAAAATACTATATCTCACGCTGTTTTCCTTTCTGTCAGTGGGGAAGCCGTTGGTCAGTAAGGAGGAGGTCAAAGGTCAGAGCTGGGCGACCTGGAGTGGCGTCCTGGGCTCCGACGTCAGCGGCATCTGGCCAAAATACTCCAATTTAACGGAAATCAACGCCGTGGACGCGAATCTGTCAGCTGCCGTGCTCGTTACCGGGGACGACCTCGGCCTCGTTAAGCTCTTCCGCTTCCCCTGCCACCGGAAAGGTCTCTGCTTTTTTTTAAATATAAGCTCAAATGTACTTATTACCCACCTCAATGCTATTGGTGTAACATAGGAGAAGTTTAAAGACCAATACTTGGTGTACTAATGAGATTTTGGTAAATTCTGGGGTAAAACTAATCAAGCATTTTGGCTTTGTTTAATAACTTGTGACCATCCATCTTCCTCCCAAAGATTCCTTAGGTTGTCGCTACTAAAAACAATCTTTTTGCAGCAGTCTCCTAATTTTCTCCAGACATTTGTACTTTCTTTTTGTCTCTGTTATGTTACTAAATATCAGTTTTTTCCAAGGTGCCAAATTCAAGAAGTACATTGGTCACTCTGCACACGTCACTAACGTCCGCTGGTCACATGACCTGCAGTGGGTGCTGACGACGGGCGGAGCTGACCACGCCCTCTTCCAGTGGAGGTTTCTCCCGGAGTCAGTCATGAACGGAGGACCGGACATCAACATCCAAGGTGGGCAGGCAGGGAGAGATTAGTTTAGCAGCAAAAACTCCCCATGGGTGATGCCGCTGAGAGGCTGAAACGTTGCTCTTTGCTGTGACGCGTTCCATATAAGAGTTCGTAGTCATTTATAGTCCATGGTGTTCAGGGCCGTTTCTTGATGAGAGAAACACCTACGTCACTTCCGGGCGAAAATTACGGCCCCGCCCACTTATGGGGGAAAACAACGCTGTCATTTGAATGGTGGTCCATACAAATTCTGAAGTTTTTGCCAATCCGATCAGAAATGTTTGAAAACCGTGGATTTTCTGATCTTCAAAGAGCCCGATCACGATGGCCAGTCAGGCAAACAATTACATTAAATCATTGGAAATCGACGATCGGGCTCGATATATGGTTAAATTAAAATCAGTAGGCGAGGCCGTAATTTTGCCAGCTGTTACTCTCATGAGCGAGGCGGAAAATAATTGTGTTATCACGCCAAAAAGCCGCTGTGTCGTTTATTGCACCTCAAACATTAAAACAAATCCAGAGTCTGTACTTCCTCTAAGAAAAAAGGACAGTAATAACATTAATATAGTAATTAAAAATTATCCTAAGGGCCGTAATTAAATCCACCACGGGCCTGATTTGGGCCCCGGGCCTTGAGTTTGACACATGTGTCTTAAAGGCTTCGGAATTCCCCCCATTGTAGTTTGACAAAATAGGGCCCCCAAAAAGCTAGAAACGGTATAAATGGTGTTTAATAAAGACGGCAAACAAACAATATACAACTCCAGACCACAAGTCAACAGCATTTCACCCTCTCCTCTACATCATATCCCCAAAGCCAGCATCCAGCAGGTGAGCTAAATACCAATAAACCACACCCACGTGACAATTGCCGGAAGTGATAATCAATATGACTTAAACGTTGTGATGCAAACATGAAGTATGAATGAAGATAATAATAAGTGTGTGTGTGTGTGTGTGTGTGTGTGTGTGTGTGTGTGTGTGTCCTGCAGACAGTCACGGGGACTCGAACAGCGAGGAGTCGGACAGCGACGTGTCGGACGTCCCGGAGCTCGACTCTGACATTGAGCAGGAGACACAGATCAACTACGACAGACAGGTACTGACCCATGAGCAAGGCACTACACTCCTCCTGCAGCTCTGGTGTTTAAACGTTTACTGCAGAGTGTGTGTGTGTCTCCTTTTTTATTCCCATTATGCAGTTGCCATAACAATGCCAAAAAACACGCCTTATCTCCAAACGCCAGCCGCTGCTGCAACAATGTTCTATTTGTTCTATCTAGTGTGTGTGTGTGTGTGTGTGTGTGTGTGTGTGTGTGTGTGTGTGTGTGTGTGTGTGTGTGTGTGTGTGTGTGTGTGTGTGTGTGTGTGTGTGTTTTTGTGAGAATTGTTACATTTTCTCATTTACTTGCAAATAAGCTGTTTCATGTTGCTGCTGTTTGTGGCTTCATCAGAGTCTCTTAGTTTTGGAAATCCATTAAACAGTGAGTGTGATGTTGCATGTATTCTCTGTGTTATGCTCTGGCTTACAACCCCAAACTAATTATAACCCTATATATTTGTTTACAAGTATGCAGAATGAGCTATGTGCAGCTCCTGTATCTATGGACAGCTATCATGGAAAGCTTTGATATTGTAGAAACCTTTAAAAAATGATGATTCTCAGGCAAGTTCTGCAGCCATAAGAAGCAACTCTGTGATTACTAAGCAGATTTACAGTATGGATGTTTTTTATGATGGACAATTGGGTAACTACAATATCAAATAAAGTCATATTAATGTGTTTTAAATATATTTTTAAGCCCTCCTGGTAAGGCTTTAAAAAAGGCAATCAATCAATGTTTATTTATATAGCCCAATATCACAAATGTTACATTTGTCTCAGTGGACTTCACAGTTTGTACAGAATATCAGTATGACAATACGACACCCTCTGTC